ACCTTAAACTCAGATGAAAAAAATAAAGTGACATGGAAATGTAAAGAAGAATCCAGGTTTTAAAACTCTGCTCTTTCTGGTCTAACAGGGGATGGGGCAAAATCAGGTTACTCAGATGATTTCTGTAACTTTGGAATATCCATGGTGCTTCATGATGTTAACATTTAATCTACTGTAGAGAGTAACAGATTTTCCAAGAAATTTAGAAAAAATAGACACAATCCTAAATTACTACCTTTTGGTAGCATAATTTTTGACTAATCCTCTACAAAGTATATGATATTGGTTTCTAGGTTGTTTACCTGATGATTTTTAAAACTATGTTATACTTATAAAAATATTTAAAACAAGTTTAAGCTTTTGGGGGGGAAATGTCTTTTGTTCTTGTGAAAATTGCTATGGTCAAGTTTTAGAAAGAATAAACGTCACATTGAGTCTAGATTGAGTGACACCCATTTGGGAGGAGTCAAAAAGCAAATCAGAAATGGGGAAAACCATTGAGGAGTGATTAATGAAGGAGGTTGCAAATTATAAGTATTTTCAGTTATTCATCTTAGACAATTGGATTGCAGGGCCACTGGGTATTATTTTACGATTCTCAGAAGATTGAGAAAGTCCTGGAAGACTAGAGAAAGAAATATTTATATAGTTCATTTATTTTTTAAAAGACACAAAGAGAGACCCTAATAACTAAAGATTAATTTACTTAGCTCTAATCCTGCGAATAAGGTTGTAGATCAAATCCTCAAAAAATCTACTTGTGGTATAGACATCTAGAGGCACACAGGATCCTTAGAGGAACAGCGTGGCTTTATGCAACTCAATATGTGTCAGACAATTTTAATTTCCTTCCTTGACAGGATGACAGCACATGTAGCTTGGAGGCAAGCAATAGAGGCCATTTATCTGTCTTTTACTCAAGCTTTCAATTCTCTCATCCATGTGATGCCCAGCAGCCAGCTAGGAAAATAAGTCAAACGTTGTGTTTCTCAAGCTGCAAACCCTGGAGAGTTCCATGAAAATGTTCAAATACAGGAATACATTCTTATATAGAAGATTATCTTTTTTAAAGCATTCTATCAGTTAAAAGGAAAAAACCTAACTTTTGGTTTGCAGTAGAAGATTGTAATTGAAAACTCTTCATATAGAATGACCTCAGTTTCTCAAGTTTCAAAATGGTTTTGGGTCCCCAGATGTATTTTGGAGGCTGCATAACTGGGTCCCAGCAGGAACCAGATGGCACAATTAAAGTGGGGAACTGAGAGAACTTACTGCAGGGACTATTTACAAAGGAGTGGGCAGGATTTAGGGAGCAACAAAGGATAGTGCAGCTGGGAACAGCTGTTACCAGCCCTGATGTGAGGGGGCAGGCGGGGAGCAATGAACAGAACCTAGAGAGGACAGTGGTGTGGCAAGAGCCACCGAGAGGAGCTGTGGCCCACGGTAGAGGACGCGGGTATTCTGCCATGCCCCAGCCTGTGCAAACCCGTGAAATTATAAGCAAATTCAGGGGTATACATGTGAATGTTCCTTTTCTTGCAGAGTAGATACATAGATTTTTATCAGTGGTCTCCAAAGTGAGCCCCAAATGCTAAGAGCTATATTTTTAGAAGGAAATAAAATTCAAATTCACTTTGTTATATTCTTGAAGTTGATGGTTTACAGCCCTGGTTAAGCACCTACAGGGTACAAAGCACTAAACAACATTCTATGACTGGATAAAAATAAACCAGGAGAAGTTATTTAGTATATTTTGGACCAAAGATTGAGTTTTACTAAGTAATTGTTCAGTGTGTAACTGTTATTGTGTTGATGTTTGGGAGTGAAACATGGAACAGAAGATCTGGTCATGGCTCTTAATGAGCTCACATAGCAAATTGCATTGACTAATACACATGTATTACTCTGAAAGGTTGGTCAAGTGGTAACATGGATAAAACTAACCTGATAGGCAGTCAGCTATGTATTTGGCTTTTATTTATTTATTTTTTGTAGTTTTGTTTATTTGTTGTTTATTTTTGTATATGTATCATTTTATACACAATATATATATACTTGCACAGTGCCTAGCACATAGTAAATGCAAATGAATTGTGTGAATTATTGTGGATAAAATTAACCTGATAGGCAGTCAGCTACGTATTTGGTTTTTGTTTATTTTTTGTGGTTTTGTTTATTTGTTATTTATTTTTGTATATGTATCATTTTATACACTATATATATATATATATATATATATACACTTGCACAGTACCTAGCACATAGTAAATGGAAATGAATTGTATGAATTATAGTGAATTATATAATATATTATATATATCAGTCATATCTAATTCATATATATATAATACATGTCTTAGTCAGCTTATGCTACCATAACAAAATACCATAGACTGGGTGGCTAAAAGTCCGAGACCAAGGTTCCAGTGGGTTCAGTAGCTGATGAGAGCCCTCTTCCTGGCTTTCAGATGGCCACCTTCTCACTGTGACCTCACATGGCCTTTCCTAGATGTATGTGTGCAGAGACAGAAAGAGCGTGAGCTCTCTGGTATATAAGGACACTAATCCTATTGGATCTGGGCCCCACTCTATGACCTCACTTAATCATAATTACTTCCTTATAGGTCCCATCTCCAAATCCTGCCACACTGAGGCACACAAAGATTCAGTCTATAACAATATATATAAATATATATAAATGAATTATGTTAAATACCTATATAGCATGTATAATTCTCTCACTTTTATTATGTGCCAAGTACTGTGCAAGTTGTTTGGGATATAAAACACTGATTAAGATACTGTTCCTTTTATGTTTTATTTGGTGAGAGTGCTTAAGATTTACTCTCTTAGCAAATTTCAGGTATACAATGCAACATTATGAACTACAAACACCATGCTGCACATTAGATCCCAAGAACTTATTCATCTTATAACTAAAAGTTTGTACCGTTTGACCAATTTGACCAATATCTCATCATTTCCCCTACCCCCCAGCCCTTGGCAACCACCATTCTACTCTCTGTTTCTAGAAGTTTGACTTTTTTTTTAGCTTCCACATATAAGTGATACTATATAGTATTTGTCTTTCTTTGTCTGACTTATTTCACTTAGCATGATGCCTTCCAGTTTCATCCATATTGTCACAAGTGGCAGGATTTCCTGCTTTTTTATGACTGAATAATATTTCATTATGTATGTATATATACCATGTTTTCTTTATCCATTCATCTGTCAATGGACCCTTAGGTTGTTTCCATGTCTTGGCTATTGTGAAAAAGGTAACTCTTTGATGTGATGGGTGTGTTAATTAACTTGATTATGGTAATCGTTTCACAATGTATGCACATATCAAATTATGCTGTACACTGTAAATACACACAATTTTATTTGTCAATTATACCTCAACTAAAAATATTTAGGTATACTGTTCCTGATGTTGAGGAATAAGAGTCAAGTGAAAGAGCTTGATCTCTACACAATTATTTCAGTGGAGACTCCATCTATAGACTTTTAGAAGTTCAGCTGGAGAAGTGCCTGCCAGGTTCACAGACTGTTCATTCTTCTAAATCAGTGGCTCTCAACCCAGGCTGCATATCATCGGGGGAAATTTTAAAATAGGGCTTCCCCGTCCCACTCCCAGCGATTCTTATTTAGTTGGTCTGAGGTGAGGCCCCAAATGGTGTTTTTTGGAAGGCATCTCTTGAGATCCTACTGTGTATCAGTGTGGAGAGCTGCAGGGCAGTGTCCTGGAGTAACACAGTGACACACGCACACAGCCTCACTACATCGTAGCCTCTTAGAATCAGGACTAGCTGTTCTTCTCCTGAGCATTAGTTCTCATTTGATTTCAAAGACACTGTAAATTTTTTCCTCTTCATGAAATAACCCCTAGTCAACCCAGAGCTAGTCCAGGACCTGCCAACTGCCCATGCGTACACTATATGGAATGCATTTCGGTATTAGCTTCAGGCTTGTGTCAATGAAACCCCTTCCCTTCGCTTTTCCTTTTTTCCCCCCACTTATTCTACTATCTTGATGTGCTTTTATTTATCCTTGCAAACTGTCTCTCATTCTTTTGGGAAGGAAGGAGGGATAGGTATTTATAATCAACGAATGAACAAAGGAAAAAACATACAAAAAATGCACACAAATGCCATGGATAGAAATAACCAGAAGAGAGTTTTTGCAAGCCTGTCTGTTTCCTGAAGGTTGTTCAGGGAGGACAAGACTGAACGGGCAGTGAAGGCGGGGTGAGAGGTGAAGTGGAAAGGCAGTGCCCCGGCTTCAGGAAGGCATAGAGGGATAGTCAGTGAATGCCTAGAGAGGATGAACTCCATGGCCGTCTAAGGGTACAGAGGAGACATGGGCTTCCAAATGAACACAAGCTGGGCAGTCGTAACCCAGGTTCATGAAGAACGATGAATGTTCTCAACATCACATATGAATGAGAACAAATCGATATCTTCCTAGCACAACCCTAGTTATAAAGGAACAAGACAGGAAGGTCTGATGGGCTGAGGGAGAAATTGGGAGGCCTTCCTGCAGGACGTGAATTTGGGGCTTGGTTTTGAGCAGGGAAAGCCATGTGCTCTATGAGAAAAAAAGAGGTTCTGGAAATCGCCACAAGTCTACACTGATGGTACACTGAGGAAAGAGGATTTCCCTTCCCATGAAGTGAGACGTAGTGGGAGGGACATCCAGGGAGAGCTGTGCTGACAAGGAACTGAACGAGGAAAGGAGGAGTTTTGCAAAGACTCAGGGCAGTTTAGTGAGTTTTATGAAGGAAACGCTGTGAAGAGGATTCATTCTTCATTTAACAAATATTTATTGAGCATCTTGTATGTGACAGGCACTGTTTTGGGTGCCTGGGGTACAGCAGTAAATAAAGCAAGTATAGTCTTTCCGTCATGAACCTTATCATCTAGGCATTAGACATAAATAGTGACCCAAGGCATGACATAATGACAAGCTGTGATGAGTACTTTAAAGAGACAGTAGGGGACACTGTAGGAAGCCATGGATAAGGCTGGGAGGGATCTGGTTTGAGGACCAGGAAGGCTTCCCATCAGTGGACAAACTAGAGAAATATTTAGGAGAATCGATTAATAAGGCTTGGCAATTGATTGGATGTGGGAATGGAGGAGACAGAATCATCAGAGAGGTTTCCTAGGTTTCTGGCTGGTGCAGGTGGTACCATTCACTGAGCTAGGAAATACCAGTGGAGAAACACATACACAAACATATGTGGGCACGCACACGCTCACACTCACACACACACACACTCGTAGTCAGGAGTTGAGAGGACAATTAACTGTAATTAGTTCATTCTTACCTCTCTTTCATGACCTCCTCTTCTCTCAATAAAAAGGAAAATAAGGAAGGTTTTCCAAGAGCAGACGGATAAAAGTTCAAACTGAAGGCTTATGGAGACTACTCTGAAGTACTTTCATAAAAAAATATGAAACAGCGAAAATCCTACTAATGACTGCAATGCTATTCTACTTTTCTTTTAGCTCTGCTCTTTATATTTGATGGTCAGTTATTGAGATACCTTAAAAATTGCACTCCAAGTATATCTATTGCCAAAAGAAGTTCCCAAACTCTCGGGAGATTGTTTACTGTCATTGATTAAAAGGATACACATCTCTGTCATGATTGGAGTTAAACTTTATTTGAGCCACAACCTTATAAATATATGTACACAGCATTACTTGCGTACACACAGGATTGTAAGCCATCCTCCACCCAGCCCATATCCATGCTTCCCAACTCCTAAGTGTGTCAGCTTTTGAAGAACTCCCCAGGCAGCATCAACTCACAGAGAGCGTGGTATGGCCTCTAAGTGACACCGCGCCTCCCAGAGGGTCGAACTGAATACAGGTGTAGACAAGGTGTGGGCAAGACCTGCTCCAGAGTCACACAAAAGGATGGCTTGAACATCTTAAACTCAAGTCTAAATTCAGTTGTTACTGATTCCTTAGCCTAGTAAGTTAATTTTGAAATGAAATGAAAAATACAGCCTCCTTAAAATGCATTTCCTTAAAAGAAAAAAAAATTGCTAGGAGGCAATTTAATCATTTGTGATTTCTGAAGAAAAATGAGGATCTTTCTTTGCATTCCCAAGAGTTTTCATTTGAAAATAAATGTGTGATCTAGAGTTGTCATATTCCATGATAAAATCACAAACATAGGCAAACAGAAGCCTCTGATCCCACGCTGTGGTGCGCTGACATCCTGCGGGGGCCACAAAGAAGTCTGGTCATATTTCCCGAAGGGTAGCTTTCTCATACAGACCTACATTACACTCACACTTTTTTCTGTAAATATTTTTGAATGCGTGTGATCAATTTCTGTCACTTGTCTAACACCTGGAAGTGCCTGACAACATTCTAACATGAATTTCTGGATTGGTTTCAGAAACAGAGTGACTGGTAACTATCTACAAGTGGCTGATCTGTTCTGATGTGAGCTTAATTAATGCTGCCTATGAAACTCCAAATGTCACAATCCAAGAGTTTTAAAATTTTAACTATTAGACTGACTTAGTTAACTTATTCTAAAATGAAATTACAATTTAATTTAATGGGAGTACTAAATTCTTTTATAATAACTTCATTTTTTAAGAGAAAAGGGTTTTATAAAATCACTCTATTATGATTATGATTTTAGCCTGTGGATGAAAACTAGTCATGTGTCACTTAACAACAGAGACACATTCTGAGAAACACATTGTTAGACAATTTCGTCATTGTGCAAACATCATAGAGTGTACTCACACAAACCCAGATGGTATGGCTTACTGCACACCCTGGCTGTGTGATACTAATCTTGCGGGATCACTGTTGTATAAACCGTCTGTTGTTGACCTAAACGTCATCCTGCGGCACATGACCATATATGAAAATGCCGCAAATAATATGCGACTATTCAACTACAAACTTGCCGGGAAAGATTGGGCTGCCCAGTTGTGATGTCTGGTCATGAAGTCCAAGCCATTGTCTGATGAAATAGGAGATTAGGAACTGAGGCTGTTGCTGGTACTCCACCAGAACATCAGGGACCACATTGATCTGGTCACATTCAAGTCTGTTGAGAAGTGTCACAACAACTACAGCAGCTAGAAGAGCAAGTAACACCGTTACTGAACAAATGGGTTTATCTCGTATAGAAACATTAGCCAACATCCCCATCTCCTTTGCACGTGTACTTTGCATTATTTTCATGTAGATGCAACCTGCAGAACCCTCTAGCCTCCTTTATAATTCATATTTCTGTGGACTCCCACCAAACACTCTATCTACATAAGTGAACTGAAATAATTTTAAGTACTCTCCCTTCTCCTTTCCCCTACAATTGGCTAGATTAAAGCTCGGGAAAGCGTTGTGTTCAGGATAAGAACAGGGAGAGATCTTTGCCACCTAAGACACACAAGCCTTCAGCTTTTATCCTGTTTCCAGTTCTTCGAGAAGGTTATTCTTACTTGAGGATCTAACAGCACAGCTAGCCATTGTTCCTGAGATGATATTTGACTCCTTGGTGCCGTGTTTGAATTTGCCTGCTGCAACCGTTGCTGAAGAGTAAAGTAAATAGAGAGAAGATATGGAACGCTGATGCCAGGAAATACCCATAAAGGTGAGTACTGACTCTTTTGAAATTTGAGAAGAAAAATAGGAAATGAAATACTTAAATATAAGAAGCAACTCCATGAAGGAGCAAATTTATTTGCATTTAGTTTCTAAAGCATGGGAATAAAATCTTATGATAGCTATGAAACTATGGTAAAAGAACAAACATCTTTTTGTTAAAAAAAGTGAAACTCTCATTTTTGAAAAGTCACCATGAAGGCAGCATCGTTGGTTTGGTCCATCAAGAAGAACCAGAGGGAAAAACTGCATTGCCTACAAATTTTTTATTTTCAGTTTCACACGATATCTCTGATTTCAAGGAATGTGGTTACGCACATTGAAATCAGTGGCAACCACTTTGAATTGATAGCAGTGTAATAATCTCCATCTGCACTGTTTTTTAAAGGATTTCAGTGTATATGGGATTAGATGTGGCCACATTAACAAGCCTTGGGGGCATGGCGATAAAGTTGGGCATGGAGATAAAGTTGGGCATGCGTGTAATATTTATTTCTTTGACCTCTCCACTATTTCAGGCTTCTTTATAAAATCTGGATTTGGGAAGGAGAATTGTGCTGTAATTATGATGGATGCTATCTTTTTGTTTAGTTTAGTTCTTGCTATACTCTAGGCATTTATAATGTCATTTAATCCTTACAGCTGTACTGTGAGCTGGATATTATTTTTATCCCCTTTGACAGATAATGAAATGAGGACTTAGGGAGGTCCAACAGATGGCCCGTGTGACACAGCTAGTCAACAGCCAATCAATTCCCAGCTTCCTAAAGTGCTGAGAAGAGTTCGCCTTCCATCCATTCTTCTCCTGAGCTGGCCTATGGTGAACCATTAGGCAGACCTGCCCTGACCTATTGGGCAAACTGACCTTTCTGTTCAGTGAAGTGAAAAGCAATGAAAATATTCAACTTGAGCTAAGTCAAATACTTCATCGCCCAAGACCCTATTTATTCCAAACTCATTTGGTTGTAAAGCAACTTGGCTGAACAGGTAAACAAGAAAATGGAAGGGCTAGAAACTTCCCCAGCTTTTCAAGTTAATGATCAGCAAGTCCGTGAAGCCTGACATGGGCTGGCAGTAGCGGGGAAAGTTGAGAGCCCTCTCTAATCCCTCACTTGGCAGAAGGATGAAAGGAAACCCGTGTTCTGTACATTTCGCAGAGTAGGAGCTGACTTGATTAAACGTCTTTTCTGGCTGTTTCAAGGGTAATGCCAAAGATGGAAAAGAACAGGTCAGAGCAATCTCAGTGGTGTTTTCTTGACCCTGAAGGCCCCATTAACAAGCAGCGTATAATAATCTTGTCACCTAAAATTACCATTTGTAAGAGTAACTAAAAGGGACTAATTACCCAAAACAGTTTGTCAAAATTAAGCCTGACAGCTTTGCTACCATAATCCTCCGTTGGGCAGGGAGGATGGTTCCTGTGGAGGGACACTTAGTGACCTAGCTGTCACCAAGGCGGTTGTCAGCTAACTGACCTCAGGCTGTAATGTGATGGGAACACACCAGCATGAACATGAAACTCAGCTACGCTAGGAACTCCCCATGGCTCACCCCTCTTTGGGGTCATTTATGGCCCCTTTGAGAATCTGATGGAAGTTGTAATTAGAACCCCTTTTCACAAAAATACATATAGGCATATATCTACAAACTATTCATGCATAAATAATTTCAGGGGGTTCAGAGGCCACGGCAGCTCCCTCATGAATCCTCAGGAATTAGTGGACCCCATGGACCACGCTTTAACCCCAGCTCTCTGATTCAGAATGGACTTCCTGGAAGTTTTTCCCATAAACTGTAGGCAAAGATAGTGGGGCTAGGCACAAACTCCCCTGTGCACAGCAGAACCCAAACAGGGCTGGGCCTCGGAAAATGGCAAGACAGCAAAGGTCAACTTTGGAGTTCCCAGCCTGTCCCTTATAACTGCTCCTCTGCCACCTCTCCCTGACCCTTTTCATGGCTCCCTTCACTCCTCAAGGTTTGAGTTTATTAAACAGACTCCACCTTCCTCCTCGTACGCCTGGTATATAAGCATAGGAATCTTGGCAATCCAGAGTCTTTGACCTCCTAGTCTCCCTTGAGACATCAATCTCAGGCTGTTGGCTGCTTACCAAAAAAGTAGAGAAAATTTATATTCAAAGGAGCTGATCAAAGCTAAGGGGCATAGCAATAATTTGTTCCTGTAGATTCGTGTTTCTTAAAATGTGCTCCACTGGCCACCCGCATCAGAGCCAGAGCTTGTTAATAATGCAGATTCTTAAGCTCTATCCTGGACATACAGAATTAGGGGTGGGGGTATGGGAGGGCAGGGAATCTGCATTTTAAAAATAAACCCCTTCCCAGTTAAATCAAGTTACAGCAAATGTGCATACCTGGACCCTAGTATTTTAGCTTCCCAAAGAAATGATGAATCAGACAGAACCAAGATTTAGCATTACATTCTATCAATAATTATCCCATATCTTTTATAAAGTGTTATTCAAGACAAAGTTTTTATGACATAAAAGTTTATGACATAAAGACATAAAGTTTTTATGACAAACCTCAAATGCTTTCTTTTATTAGATAATGAGAGTTGTGTAACTCACAGTATTTCTATTTTCAGCTTGGCCTCCAGGAAACTCAGAACTAAATCTAAGTATTTAGATTTAGTATTGCACTCCCAGGTATCCTTTTTGATACTGACTGAGAACTCCCCATCCACTCCCTTGAATATATGCCTGTTGTTCTCTTTACCTTTGCTTGAGTGATATAATACATCCATCTTTTATTGAAAATTGTTGCTAATGCCTTTTCAAAAGAGGGGAGAGTACAAATAATCTGTCAGTAGATAAACACGTGACTTTTCTACACCTTATGGAATAGTGAAGGGAGCAGGGTCAGGAACAGGAGATCTCAGTTCTGGTCCATCTTTGTTACGGTCTAGCTGTGTTTCCTAGGCAGGCCCCCTACACCGTCTAGATATCATTTCATTCTCTGAGGAGGGAGTGGGTTGGATCTCAGAGGTCTCTCCCAAGTCCACACCCTCAGCTTATGGGCCTCACATCATCTTGTCCATGTGAGGACCATGCCGTCATCTCCAGGAGCTCCAGCTGCAACCTTGGGGACTTGAGCTTCTGCAGGATGCTGGATCCCCAACCAGAGATGAGTCAGGGTGGGCAGAGGATGGAGTTTCACATGCTGAGGGTGGAGGCTCAGGCAAGGGGAACCCAGGAAGCCTCAGTGGGGTCAGAGAAGGGGGTCACAGGTAATGCCAATCACACAAAGGGTCAAATCCATGGCCCTAAATGGTTCTGTAATGTGTGAGTGTGTTGACAGTGGGGGAGGGAGGAGTGGGAGAGAGGGTAGGAGAATAGAATTACAATGAATCAAAACACAACAAAACTATAGGGGCCAGCCCGGCAGCACAGCAGTTAAGTTTGGGAGCTACACTTTGGCAGCCCAGGGTTCGCCAGCCCAGATCCCAGGTGTGGACCTATGCACGGCTTATCAAGCCATGCTGTGGCAGGCGTCCCACATATAAGGTAGAGGAAGATGGGCACGGATGTTAGCTCAGGGCCAATCTTCCTCAGCAAAAAGAGGAGGATTTGTGGTGGATGTTAGCTCAGGACTAATCTTCCTTAAGAGAAAAATAACAAAAAAATTATATATATATATATATATGTATATACACACTAAACTTGATTAAAAATGGGTGAAAAATGATGAAGTGAGAAGGAAGAATGTTTTAAAAAATCCTCTTTCTAAAAGTAATAAATAGATTACTTACCATTTATGCCTGATTCCCCAGATACATGGACTGGTTTTGTTGTGAAATAATGGCTTGCATGCTACTGAATAAGTCAACTCAATGATTGATTTGATTCCAACCCTAACCATCTCGATATATGCCTAGTGCTTAGGGTTTGCTTGCTGAAGTAGCACAACGATCTGCTCACAACTTTTAAAATAGAAAAATCTGGGGGTTTTTTTGGTTCTTCTGAACAGGGACTGTGAACCTTGTGCATCCGTGGGAGGCTGCTGGGAGAAGCAGCAGAGCATGGTGCAAAGGGGCCTCGAGTCAGACAGAGCCGGGTTCAAATTCCAGCTCAGCTGCTTATTAACCGTGAGAACCGGGGAAAGTTATCTGGCCTCTCAGCCACAGTTTCTTTGTCCGCTCTGAGGGTGAAGAGAGCTGCAATTGGTTGCCTCTTGCCCTTGTGTAAGAATGTTTCAAAACCCTGATTTTTCTCCATTTTAGAGTTAAGAAATGTTCCAGCTCCAGACTGAGTGTGATCTTTAATCCTGTCGTAATATCTTCTTCACTTTACCTGTGATCACTGTGGAGTTCCCAGAGCCCAATCTCCTTTGTTGCTGGGACCAGCATAAGAATATAAAAGTGGAATTAAAGTCAAGATTCTGCTCCCTTTCGGTGAACTGTAATAAAGTAATATTATGAAGACTGAACATATCCCCAGAGTTACCAGTATCTCTCAAAAGAAATAACACTGAATTCTTCCTTTACCCTAAAGAATGTGTGAATGTGAGCACTGCAAACGACTAAAGACACAGAAGAGGATTTAGGCAGAAGCTAATCTTAGATAAATATTAGGTTTCGTATATGGCCATGCAAGCAGGTGAGTGTCAAAAGTCAGTGCTGTCTTTTAAAAACGGATACAAATTGAACACACTTATCACAAGTTCACAGTGCAAAAGGATTATCATCTTTAATCAGAATGTTAGGGGTTTAATTAAAGTAGATTTTGCTTTAAGAGGGGGAGAGATGTATGCATATTATAAAATCATAGATGAGCGCATTTATGCAGCATTGTATGGTGGTTTTACATTATTCTGAAGGTTTAACCTTTCAGTGCAGAATAATTTTATGAATGTCACTATTTCTCTTCACCTGAATCTTTGTTAAAGCAACATTGGATTCCCACGACTCTTTTCCAGGATGACGAGATCAGGATAGCAACAGTGATTTACGGGTGTCTGTGGGCCCATTTTAAG